AGGAGATATATAGATAACACTGCAGGAAGAAAAGAAACCTTGGGGAAAATGAAACACTGACACAGTCATTGCTGAGCATTTTTTAATAATATCTTCTCGGAGCACTTGCCTTGTGCTTCACATACATTATGTAATACATCTAAGGTATTGTTTTAATAGGCATTAAAAGATGAGGGGGGCTTCCCTGGTGGCGCAGTGCTTGAGAGTCCGCCTGCCGTTGCAGGAGACGCGGGTTCGTGCCCCGTTTCGGGAAGATCCCACATGCCGCGGAGCGGCTGGGCCCGTGAGCCATGGCCGCTGAGCCTGCGCGTCCGGAGCCTGTGCTCCGCAAATGGGAGAGGCCACAACAGTGAGAGGCCCGCATAACGCAAGAAAAAAAAAAAAAAAATTCAAAAGATGAGGGGACTAAGACTCAGAGAAGTTAAATAATTTGCCCAAGCTCACACAGTAAGAGCCTAAGTTAGGATTTTAATAAGTCCTTTTAGGCTACATAGCACTTTTATAATTAGGATTTCCTGCAAAATTGCCATGTTAGAAATATGAAAGTTGACATATGTGTATGGGGTGGAGGTAAAAAATTAGGTGGGAAAAATAAAGACTCATTTTTGTTTTCTTGTGTGCATATTTTAAAGGTTGATTAATGGAATCTTCAGAGAAGTAACTTTGCCCCAGTTCCCTATTTTTCTTTTCCTACTGAGGAAAGAATCCCTGGAGATAGTTTTCATATTTCTCATGTTTCTAGAAGGAGCACTTCATCTGGGTTTTGGGGGGATTTGGGGATTTTTTTTGTCTTTTTTTTTTTTCCCCCAAAGATTATGGTCATGCCAATTATAATTAAATAGCCACAAGGGGCATAAAGGAAAGTTTTTGAGTTGTCCAAGAAAGTCAGAAGTGGGAACAAAATAACTTATATGATAATGAAATATTTTGATAATTTCTTAAAATTCCAGTTTCAAAAGCCATGCTTTATCTCATTTTTGAAGATATCCAGCCATATATCTTTAAAGCATAATTTGATAATATTGCTTTCTAAAAGTTATATAAACTGTATATATCATTCATTGAAAAGAAGCTCATTTTCCTAAACTTGATTTATATGTCTCGTAAACTTTATATGTCTCGTAAAATTTATATGTCTCGTAAACTTTTAAGTAGAATAATTTTGGAATTGTTTTATGTACTCAGATTTTGAAAACTTGAACAGCTAAGTGAAATATTTTTATGGGATCTGATGAGAGCAAACTGACATTAGTGTGAAACATCTTCAAGTATTTTTAAAAGAATTGTAGGTCCAACTTTGAAAATGATCTGTTACCACATAGTTGTTGAAACTGTTGAAAGTAATTAAACAATTGAAAATAATTAAAAATTGAAGGTAATTAAACAATTATTGTAACTTTAATTTATTCTACTATATGTGGCATTTTGGTTCATTTTATAAATGAGAGATGCAGTGGTTTTATTTTGGAAGGGAGTCATCTTCTGAAATGGCAACCTTCATTTTTCATTAGACATCTTTACTACTCAGTTACAAGTTAATTTTCTACTCATAACTTGTCGTTGTGTAGAAGGGTTTATTTCTAGTGTTTTTATACTATATAACAAATCTGTTATTCTGTAGTTGGCCTTGGCAGAATTATATGAAGATGAAGTGAAATGCAAAGCTTCCAAATCTGATAGACCTCACGCTACAGCCTTTAAAAGCCCACGAACACCACCTCAAAGGTAAGTTTTGTTTTGGTTTTTAAACTTGTATCCCTTTTTAGTTCACTAATCCCACATTATTTTAAATGGCCCTGGGAATTTATTTTTAACTATAACTTCTTAAAATAAATGTTTTTTAGATACTATTTCTGAAACTTTAATAGTCAGAAAGCCAGAAGAAACTTATGGGAAAATTATCTTAAATACTTAATATTTTGATAGACATCACATAGCATAATATACTGAATAGTATTTTTCTTGGGCACCGTGGTTCTTTTTTGAGTCATTGGACTCATTGAGGAGCTGATGAAAGTTATACCCCCTCTCCCCCAGAGCAAGACTTATGTACAATTTTGTCAGTCGTTTTTAAGGGTTTGTGTGTTTCTTAAAGCCCATCCATGGAGTCCTTCATTTAAGAATCTATAACTTCAGGAATCTGTCTTTCCCTCTGTTGGGTGATGACCCATCTAATAGTGATCTTCTAGATAGTATTTACTATTGTTAAAATCCCTGAACTATAAAAACAACCAACAGTGAAGTTTTAAGAGATGAGAACCAGGTATATTTTATTGTCATGAGTTTTCTTGTTTCCAGGAATGTTTTCCTCAATGTCCTTTTAGTACTGCAAATCTCATTACTGGGGAGAAACTTGAATTTTCCCATTACATCTCATTTTCAGAAAGTCTGTTCTTTTATCAAAAGTTGAAAAATTCACTGGAAGTTATTCTTTCTTTTTTGTTTGTCACTAGTCTACCTTCTTTCTTTCTGTAGGGGAGGTAAAATGACATCCCTTTCTGGACTTGAATGGAAAGAAAGAATAATATTTATAATGTTTACCCCACCTTTTTATTTTACAAATTTTAAAATCCATAGATAATCAAAGATAAGGACAATGAATATATGCTGTGTCTGCTCCGATATTCACCAGTTGTTAACATGTTATATACAGCAGTACATTGGTGCACACGCTGTCTTTTACTCAACCATCTGGAAGTAAATTACAGCCATCATAGCACTTCATCCCTAGAGGCTTCAGCCTGCACCCCCTAAGAAGAAGCCCACACTCCTTTATAACCTTGATAACATATCACACCTTAGAAAATGAGCACTAGTTGCGTAAGTCATTTAATCCGTAGTCTATAGTCAGGTACTCTTAGAGCTTTTCAGGTTTAGGATCCAGCCAAGGGCCATGCATTACACTTATGATGCCTATTTGGTATCTGAATCCAGAGCATTTTTCCCAATCTTTCTGTTGTCTGCTTTTAGCTCATCTATATAATCTAAAGCTTATTACGTTGACTTTGAAGAGCCGTGGCCAGATGTCTTTTAAAATGTGCCACATTCAAGGTCATTGTTTCCTCACGATTAGATTCTTGTTAAACGTATTTGTTAAGAACACTAGTTAGTGATGTTTTCTGCTATGTATTATATCACATCAGGAGCCATATGGTTTCAGGTTTTCCCACTATTGGTGCTATGTTCACTTGGTTAAGGTGCTGACCACCACCCCACTCCATCGGAAGGTACAGTTTTTCCTTTATAATCTGCAGGTTGGTATCTTGGCACTGTTTGAATATCCTTCCCTTTCATTTAATTCTTATTTAATATGTATGTTTGTGTATGTGTGTATGCCTATACACACATACATAGACATATATATATATATAATATATATATATAATATTTTATATTTTAACTGCTTCCTTAATCTATACAGTCTTGAAATTTTGAAAGAGCTCAAAATATTAATGTACCAGAGTTTTACTCATTAACTATTTGGCCACTGTTCCCCAGTTTGAACAGATTTTGAATGACTTAATTTGTTGGTATAACAAATCAAAATATTTGACTTCTTAAAATAAGATTAGTGTATTAATATTTTCCTTGCTCTTCGAATATAATCCTTAATATATTTCAATGAGTGGTTTTTTCTCTTTTATTTTATGCTATCTGAAACAGTGTTGCCGTTAACAGTTATAATTTGATAATGCAATTTTTAAGGACTTTGTGCCTCAGATTTGATTTCTAGAATTATTTACATATCCAAAAAGAGGAGCTGCCTTAAATATATTGGTTGATGCTTATACTATGTTTAATCTGCTTAAAATACAATGTGAAGCAAATTATTGGCAATGTTTTCTTCTTACGAAGTGTGATATTTTCGAATACTAAGTATGCAGTTCTCTTGGCTTCATATTCAGCATTGACATCTGCCGGGTTTCACTGCATGTCTACTGCTTTGTCTGCTACAGAAAACAGTCTTAATTAATGGTCCACCTTCTTGGACAACATTAGATATCAAAACATTCATCTGTTCATTGTCATTTTAAGTCACTGTGTACATAATGTGAAACTTAAGTACTCTAGACGTAGTGTGACCTATTTTTAATTTACAAGAGGAGGGGCAGGATCTACAGAAAAACTCACAGAAGTAAGCCTGACAGCTGCTTTTACATATTCATCCACAGAAGCCTCTCTGTCACAAATAGAACTTTAAAAATGTGAGTCTTCTTGTCCAAAAATGTAAGAAGTTAAAAAAAATGTCCCCTACAAGTCATGAGACGCTAGTATGGTTTTGAGAATTCAGTAAGTCTATCAGATGTCTAGCACAGTGTCGGTACCTAGCTGGGCCTTTAAAGGTTATTAGAATGTGGGTAAGCATAGAAGACAAGGAACAAAATAGGCCCAGAAGAAAAACTAATAAAAATGCCAAGAGCGAGCCAGAAAGGAGCAGCAGAACTTGAGTAGCCTCGCGGCAGGTGAGGCTGGGTGGGCGGGGTGCTGCCGTGTGTGCTTCATGCACGTGGAGCCTCAGCCTTCGCCCAGAGCCCCTCTCCGGGAAGGGCCGCGAGCTTGGTTTAATGCTTTGTATTACTGTCTTGAAATTCTCAATACACTTTGAGCAAGGAGACTCCTACTTTCATTTTGCCGCCGGCCCACACATTATGCATCCAGTCCTGGATGCAGCCACATCACGGCCAGCCTTGACAACCAAGGAGAGCTGCTCTTGTGCGCGAGGCAGGGGAAAGCCAGTATATGTTTTTCACTGTAGCTTTTACCATAAAAACTATAGTAGAGCAGTAAAGCTTTGATTCTAGACATAGACACACCTCAGTTTTCTATCTTTTTTTCTCTGTGTTCTGATAAGGTTTTGCCCGTGGACAAGTTTTTTTAATTCCCTAAGCTTCAGCTTTCTTATTTGGAAAGTGGGGATAATGCCATTGTTATGAGGATTAAATGAGCAGTTGATAAATGTTAGTTATTATTATTATACTTCTGGTAAAGTAGGTCTGGCAGTAAGTACCGTATAAGATAAATAGCAATGGGAAGAACGAGGCAAGGAGACAAATCAAGAAGACGACTGCAGTGAGCCAGAGATGTGGGCGTGGGATTTGAGGGTAGGATGCTGTCAGTGGAATGGAGCAGAAAGGGGTGAAATTGGTGTGGGATACTTTCAAAGAATTGACTGTAGAAACGTGATGACGTGGAATATAGAGAGTAAGTGAACGGGAAAGAGGGAAGACTGAAAGCTTCTTAATCTGGTATCCAGGGAAAATGTGATCGTTAATGGGAAGAGATGAACTGGATTCAAGTAGGTGCTTTTCAGTTCATCACCGGGCCGTAAGTAAGAGGGTCTAAAGACATACATTTGAGAGTCCTCTGTATAGAGGAGGTTGCTACCTATGGGAGTGGACAAACGTTGATGATCAGATGAATTTAAATAGAGTAGGAGAGTCAAGTATATAGGCATACTTATGAAAGAGGAGAAAAGTGGATTGTGGAAAACAATAAAACTTCTAGAAGCAAATAGACCCTGAGGTAGGCAAAGATTTCTTAATACCAGTAATAAAAAATCAGTGACCATACAGACGTTAGTAAATCTTTTCTCCTACGTCAGGTTTTTCCTGTAAGGTCTTTCTCACCAAGGCTGAGAAAAAGGAACTCTATCGTTGTACTTTGCCAGATTAGGGACAGGAGACAGGAGGGAAGGGGCTCCAACAGGAGTAGCTGCAGCAGGAAGCTTCGCTTCCCCTCCCCTCCCCCTTTCCTTCCCTTCCCCTCCCTTCCCTTCCCTTCCCTTCCCTTCCCTTCCCTTCCCTTCCCTTCCCTTCCCTTCCTTCTCAGTGCTGCCATTTAAGGCATCTGCTATCAAGCACCTTCCAACGCTGACCCCTGTCATAAGAGCCAGCCATGGCAGTGTTCGGCCTTGCTTGTCTGTACTGGGCCCTCTGAGTATCCGCTGGGCAGGAAGGCTTCCGGAGGCTCCTGCTCTGGGTGAACTTAGTCCTCAGTGTACTTGACCAGAGCGCTAGCAGCTGGATCCATCCCACCCCACCCCACCCTCAGTAGTTGTGAGCTGGCCTTGTTAGTGGGGTTCTGCTGGTGTCCATTGTTCTCCGTGTAGATCTTTCTTCCACTTACAGTGAATTGAGGGCTGAGCTGCCCTTCCCTTTCCTGTTTAGTTTTGCATATACTAATTTTGGGAAAGTCTTGAAGGTGACTTCTGTTCCTAGTCTCCAGTGCTGACAAAATTTTCCCCCTTTGTTTTGTGAGTCAGTTCAGTGCAAATTAGGAACTGAATTGGAGGGTATCAGTAGTCAAGGATATGAGCTTTGATTGTCACCTTATTCTGGAAGTCTCCATGTTGATATTTCATTGGTTATACTTTCTGATATTCTTGATTGTAAAAAATCTTGAAAGATAAAATAGGGTACTAATTTATGTGAAGGAAATGTTTATATTCCCTAGGACCATTATGAAATAGAAAAGAAAGGAGAAATTATTCACTACATAGTTAACACTGAGAAAATTGTTTGTGGTCTAAGTTATTTACCTTTAACACAGGGAGGTTATAATTTTTCAATCAGAACTCTCTGAGGAGTAAACTCTATGTGTAGCCCTGTGGTCTAGATTTAGATATTTACAGCATCTAAATATAGAAGTCTCTTCACTGACCAGGTCCTACTGAATGTGGATTCCTTGGGGGAAGAGGCTTAGCTTCTGGTTGTCAGCTGTCAAAGAGATCCGTGTGATAGATAAGCAGTTACAGAGGGTAAGTGAGGAAGAACCAAACTAGTTAGTTCTCAGGTGGGATGCTGAATTTGCTACCAAATCTCTGCAAACTGTTGATACTACTTAATTCCTTAATCCCGTTTTTAAAATTAAATATTTCCACAAAGGCCTTAGAAATGGCTCTCTTTAAATAAAAATCATTTCCTAAGACTGTGTAGCTTTTTGCCTTAAGGTAGTTGATGTTTGTATTCTGTCTTTATTCATGAACTGTAATGTTTAAAGGTTCTATTCAAGTGAACATGAATGCAGTGGATTACATATAGTTCGACCTTCAACTGGGAAAATTGTGAATGAACTTTTCAAAGAGGCAAGGGAACATGGGGCTGTCCCTCTGAATGAAGCCACAAGAGCTTCGGGTGATGACAAATCTAAGGTAAGGGCTGAATTTTTAAAACTAAATATGCTATTGGGACCTCCCTGGTGGTCCAGTGGTTGACTCCAAGCTTCCACTGCAGGGGGCATGGTCAGGGAACTAAGTTCCCACATGCCACCCAGCATGGCCAAGGAATAAAATAAATAAATAAAAAATAAAAGCAATGTAACATTAAAGTTAAAAAAAACAAAACAAAACTGGGCTTCCCTGGTGGCGCAGTGGTTGAGAGTCCGCCTGCTGACGCAAGGGACACAGGTTCGTGCCCCGGTCCGGGAAGATCCCACATGCCGCGGAGCGGCTGGGCCCGTGAGCCACGGCCACTGAGCCTGCGCGTCCGGAGCCTGTGCTCCGCAACGGGAGAGACCACAACAGTGAAAGGCCCGCATACCGCAAAAAAAAAACAAAAAAAAACCTAAATTTGCTGTTTATATACTTGATCTCCTAAAGATTTTTATACTAGTTGCAAACATTGTTTTTCTAACTGTATATTTGTTTCAAATATTTGCTTTATTTTTATAAGTCTATATAATCTTTCTACTAATGGTCAAAAGTTGAGGCAGTTTCTTAACATTTCTATGAAACTTCTCTGTTTACCTTTTTAAATTGAAATAATTATAGAGTCACGGTAATTTGCCAAAGAATGCAGAGAGGTCTTATGCACCTTTCACCCAGTTTCCCCTAGCGGTTGTTACATAATTATAGTTCAGTCACAAAGGCAGGAATTTATCCTTGGTGCAGGGTTTGTGTGTAGGTCTGTGTCATTTTATCACAGGTGTAGGTTTGTGTGGTGACCTCCTCAATCTGGATGCTGTCCATCATCACGACAGTCTCCTCTTGGTGGCCCCTTTAGAGTCACTGCCACCGCCCCCACCCTCAATAGACCTCCGGCCACCACTAATCTGTTCTCCATCTCTGTAATTTTGTAATATCGAGAATGTTATACAAATGGAATCGTACAGTATGTGACCTTTTAGGAGTAGCTTTTTTTCCACTCTGCTTAAGCCCTTGAGATCCATCAGTTATTGAGTGTATCAGTAGATCCTTCTTTTTTATACCTGAGTAGCGCTCATGGTGTGGATGTAGCACCGTTTGTTAACTCTTCAGTTATTGAGGGAAATTTTAGGTATTTCTAGTTTTTGGCCATTAGAAATATAGCTACTGGGACTTCCCTGGTGGCGCAGTGGTTAGGACTCCATGCTCCCAATGCAGGGGGCCCGGGTTCAATACCTGGCTGGGAACTAGATCCCACATGCATGCCACAACTAAGAGATCGCATGCCTCAACTAAGGAGCTGGCAAGCCGCAACTAAGGAGCCCACCTGCCACAACTAAGACCCGGCACAACTAACTAATGAAATGGATAGAAAGGAAGAGAGAGAGAGAGAGAGAGAAAAGGAAGGGAGGGAGGGAGGGAGGGAGGGAGGAAGGGAGGAAGGAAGGAAGGAAGGAAGGAAGACATATAGCTGCTGTGAGCAGTCGTGTTTTGTATGTAAATTAGTTTTTATTTCTTTGGGATAAATGCCCAGAAGTGTAGCTGCCTGGTCGAAGGGTATGTATATGTTTAGGTTTTTAAGAAACTGCCAAACCGTTTTCCACCGTGCATGAGGTATCTGGTTTCTCCACGTCCTTGCCAGCGTTTGGTAATATCACTCTTTATAATTTTAGCCATTTTGATAGGTGTGTAGTGATAACTCACTGTGGTTTTGATTTGCATTTTCTTAATGGCTAATCATGTTCATTTGCATTTTCCTATTGGCTAGTGATATTGAACATCTTTTCATGTGTTTATTTGCCATTATCTTTATTATCCTCTTCAGTAAACGGGCTTTTGCCCATTTTCTAATTGGATTGTTTGTCTTGTTACTGTTGACTTTTGAGAGTTCTGTATATATTTTAATAGGTATGAGTCCTTGGTCACATATATGGTCTGCAGATAGTTTCTCCTGGACTGTAGCTTGTCTTTTCATCCTCTTACCAGGATTTGTCACGGAGCAAAAGTTTTCAATTTGATAAAGTCCAGTTTATCCTTTTTTTTTCTTTTATGTATTTGGTATCTTGTCCAAGAAATCTTCATCTAACTATAGGTCTGGAAGATTTTCTTTCATGTTATCTAGAACATTTTTTATCGTTTTTCTTTTTACATTTAAACTTATGATTCATTTTGAGTTAACTTTCTATAAGGTTTACATCGAGGTTCATTATTCTCCTTATGGAGGTCCAGTTGCTTCACCATTGTGTGTTGAAAGGCTCTCCTTTCTCCATTGAGTTGTTTTTGTGCCTTAAATTCCTATGAAACTTTTATACAGCTTTTATAACTATGTCAGCTGTCAGAGTACTGGTATATCAAAGACTTCAAGTATCTTTTTGTGTATAATTGTCATATATTCTTTTTTTTTTTTTTTTTCTTGCGTTATGCGGGCCTCTCACCGCTGTGGCCTCTCCCATTTGCGGAGCACAGGCTCCGGACGCGCAGGCCCAGCGGCCATGGCTCACGGGCCCAGCCGCTCCGCGGCACGTGGGATCCTCCCGAAACGGGGCACGAACCCGCGTCTCCTGCATCGGCAGGCGGACCCTCAAGCACTGCGCCACCAGGGAAGCCCGTCATATATTCTTATAATTATCATTTCCCAACCTGAGTTCCCTCATCAGAATCATTTGGGAGGTTTCCTAAACTACCAAATGGCCTCAGGGATTATGGCTCAGTAGGTGTCCAGTGTGCCTAGGGGCCTGTCTGGTAATTGTGAGGGTCACACCCACTGCTCGGAACCGCTTTTGTTAAATGAAACTTAAATTTGAGTTTTCATTTCGTTCTTTACCCACAGTTTGAAATTCTCTTTCAGTTAAGTCTCAGGTAATTTTGGTTCTTGCAAGCTCTCCAATTCTGTAAGAAAAATATAGGATTGATATAATTTAGTCTATAAAAAGGAAAGCAATGTGATGATTAATAGCTCACTTATGGTATGAATGGTGATTAAAAGAAACAGCAGTTTTACCTCATAAGTTATCTTACCTGAAAAATAGAAGAGCTTGTAATTAGTATAACAAAACAAAAAGTACAGTCTAGTTGATTTGTTACAGTTGAATCAAAGCAGCTTATAAGTATGGAGCTTTTCTTCAGGGTAATTTATACTCATTTATAAAATTCTTCCTTTCTCTATGAAACACTTATTTACTTTGTGAAATATGATTCAAGAATTATAATTATTATAAGACTTGTCATAAAATATTAAATGTGGGTTTTTAAAGTCTACTTCTACTTGAAAATATTATTTCAGTGTATAAATGCATTTCTTAGTTTAAGATTGACCTAAGTTATTTCAGCTTCTGAGTCACTAATGTTTTTGTGGGAAGAAACGTAATTTCTTACTAGAGTGTACCTCTCTGTAATATAAGACCATTATTTTAATATAAAAATTTCCTGGAAAGTATAAATCAGTTTGGCTAATTATAATTGATATAGTTTTAAAATATATTATCACACATTATCATACCATTTTGCTTGATAAGCCTCAGTGAATTTTTAGCTCATTTGCTATGTGTGTGTTTTAGTCTTTTACAGGTGGAGGATACAGATTGGGTAATTCCTTTTGTAAGCGGTCTGAATACATCTATGGAGAAAATCAGTTGCAAGATGTACGTACAGAAAGAAAATGAAAAATTGTAGATTTTTGCCTCTAGTTACTACCGTTTGTTATAAAATTAAAAATTGATAATATAATCTCTTTTTCTGTTATTTTTGAAGCATGGATTAAAAGGACTTACAATTAATGTGTAAGTTTTCATACTTAAATTTTATATTTTATATCTCAGTTGTGCCTTGCACTTAGAGATACGTAACTATTTGTTGAAAGAATGTATGACTCACTGTCAAAATGAGCTTACACATATGTTATAATAATTATTATAAATGACATACCATCATGATACAGAATTAGCTGAGTTATAAACATAGAAATGCCTAAAGTCATTCTTTGTTTTTGCCTTTTGAAATTTCGGAGTTGTGTTTCATTTTGAACATGTATAGTTTAGCCTTGGAGGGTCTCTGGAGGTTCTGTCTAGCCCCCTGGCATAAATAGTTAAGCTCTGCAGCAGAGAAGAAGACGGGTAGACCAGCAGTCCCACTACTGGGCATATACCCTGAGAAAACCATAATTCAAAAAGAGTCGTGTACCTCAGTGTTCACTGCAGCTCTATTTACAATAGCCAGGACACGGAAGCAACCTAAGTGTCCATCCACAGATGAATGGATAGAGAAGATGTGGCACATACATACAATGGAATATTACTCAGCCATAAAAAGAAACGAAATTGAGCTATTTGTAGTGAGGTGGATGGACCTAGAGTCTGTCATACAGAGTGAAGTAAGTCAGAAAGAGAAAAACATATACCGTATGCTAACACATATATATGGAATCTAAAACAAAACCAAAAAAAGGTTCTGAAGAACCTAGGGTCAGGACAGGAATAAAGACGCAGATGTAGAGAATGGACTTGAGGACACGGGGAGGGGGAAGGGTAAGCTGGGACGAAGTGAGAGAGTGTCATGGACATATATACACTGCCAAATGTAAAATAGATAGCTAGTGGGAAGCAGCCACATATGTATATGTATAGCTGATTCACTTTGTTACAAAGCAGAAACTAATACACCATTGTAAAGCAATTATACTCCAATAAAGATGTTAAAAAAAAAAGAAGACAGGTAGAGATGATGGAGAAGGGTGGGTGTGGAGTGGCAGCTGGATGCTCTCAGGCCTCTGGTCTTCTCAGTGAACCAGAAATAATTGTACTTCAAGGTCAGGGTCCAGCGATGGGACCTTTGCTATTTCAGCCATCGTCAGTTCATTAAGCTAAGTATAGATCTCACATGTGGCTTCATTTATATCTTTATTTCAGCTGAATAAAGAATAGTACAGGGCTTCCCTGGTGGCGCAGTGGTTGAGGGTCCGCCTGCCGATGCAGGGGACATGGGTTCGTGCCCCGGTCCTGGAAGATCCCACATACCGCGAAGCAGCTGGGCCCGTGAGCCATGGCCGCTGAGCCTGTGCGTCCAGTGCCTGTGCTCCGCAACTGGAGAGGCCACAACAGTGAGAGGCCCACGTACAGCAAAAAAAAGAGTAGTACAAATAACTCTATCTTTTAAATAAAGTAAATCATAAATGTCACTTTTGAAAATTAAAATTGTTTAATGCAGACGCGTTCTTGTATTTCTTTTTTCCTACGCCCAAAAGGTTCAGATTTTGCTTAAACTGTGGAGCAATGGTTTCAGCTTAGATGATGGAGAATTGAGACCTTACAGTGACCCAACAAATGCTCAGTTTCTGGAGTCCGTTAAGAGAGGGTAAGATGTGTTATTTGGGTTCTATTTGTTACTGAGGGTGGAACTTCTTTTTCTTGTAAACAGAACGCCGTTCAGTAGTGCTCTACTGGTTTTTAAGAGTGAGATGCTGTAAGTGGTTGCTGGGGGGAAGGATATTTTTAAGTATATAAAGGACATGTTGCTATCTGTAAGTCAGTGGTTCTTAACTTGGTGGGGGGGAGCAGTGGTCATTGGTCCCTTTTAAAATCCAGTGAAGCTATGGTCCCAATTCTGAGCAGAGGTATTGTAATGTAATACATTAGTGAATTGATTAGCAGGTAGCTGCTCATCCACTAAGCCACTGTCCTGCTTACTACCGACAGGGTGACTCATTGCATGTATGCCTGAATTTCAGCAACTTATATTAGAAAGCTTTTAAAGTGGCATTACTGCTGGCACAAGATTTCAAAAGGATAGTTTGAAGTTATACTTTGTGAAAGTAAACCAGATTTACAGGGCTCCGACCCATCTAAAGAACATCATAACTCACCAGATCTTCTGGCTAAAGGATGAGGAATCAAGTGATTTTGCTACGATTATAAAAGCTTTTCTGCATTGTGCTTTCACTAGCTGACAGTGTGATCATCCCTAAGTAGAAATACAACTGAAGAAAGGTGTCAGGCTGGTCATGAACTGGGAGATGTAAGTAGCAGTGAAGGGGCTGGAGCAGGAGGTTACACTCCATCCAGGAATTGAAGGTGGGGCTTTTCCAAGTTAGGAAATCTGTCCAAGGAGAGTGGCTGAAGTGGAGTGGAGTTGGGAACTCATCGGAGTTGAGGTGGGCAAGGAACTCAAAAGGAAAGGCATTTTAGCACTAATTAGCATGGATTTTGTATTTGAATTCTACAAAGGTAATGTCAGAATACCAAAGAAAAGCAAGAAATGCTATAAGCGGGAGGGAGGTCATTGAGAAAGGTGGGAAGCTGACCCGGGAAGCAGTGTATGCCGGTGGCAAATAGAAGGGTAAGAGTTGAAGTCAGTGCTGTGGACTTGGAAACCTGCAGAGTCACTGGGCAGAGCTTGGGAGCCACTGGGTGGGGGAAGTGCTCATCTGCTGAGTAAAGGTCAACATGACTGCTGAAATGACGCTTACTTCCAGATGGAAGAAGAAAACATGATGATGAATGTGCTATAATATAGATCAAAACTAATTTATTATTAAATGAAAATACTCGACGGACATTGTAGGCTAGTGGTCAGTCATGGTATACTTAGAGAATTTTTTCATTTGAGCTACACCTATCCTCAAGTACAAATTATGATCAAGAACGATTTTAGAAACGACTCCTTGAAAAAAATGATCGTCAGATAGTGGTTGTCAGCTGTATAATCATTGTTCCTTTTTTATAACAAATATTTTGTAACACTATCTTCACTGTCCTCAAAGAAGAATTTATAGATAACATAATCAATCTGTGCATATTATTTCTAAAAACATTCATATAAAATTTATCTTAAATATGGTGAAGAAGTAAAGGAAGGTAATTTATCATAAAACTAAACATATTTTGGCGTCTAATGCCTAGGTATGATTACACCAGAAGACATAACAAAGTAGACAGATAGACTGACCTAGACTGCACCTGTGTGCAGTCTAGCACTTGTCATGTAGATGCGACACACAAAAAACAGAATAATGAGGTGTGTGACTTTGGCAACTTAATTACTATAAGTGGCATTGCAGTCAGGCACTTGGTACAGTTCCAAACAAGACAAAGTGCAATGTTCCTTCTGTTTATATGGCAGATGAGTTCCTGAAAAGTTCAAAGCATATTTATACAATACCAAAAAAAAAAATTTTTTTTTTTTGCTTATATGTAAGATAGAGCCTAAGCCTTAGGTTTTAGGCTCAGGCATTATAAACAGCCTTGTCATCCATGTGACCCCCTGGTGGGATCCTCAGTGGTTCTGTGGAACCCCCAACAAGTCTTCATTGTGTAAGTTGAGACCCCGAGACAGAGCATCTCCTGCCCTGATCCTGACCCTAAAGGAGGGCAGCATGCATGAATCACATGACAATCAAAATCACCCCTGTCAAATTTCCAAACTTCCTCCAGGGTGTTTAGAAATAAATATTCACATTAACTGTTATGTCCTCATCGGGATTTTCTAATGCCGACTTAGGTGTAAATTGCTTCCCTACAGTTTGGCCTTCTGTCAGAAGCACTCCAGCCTCCCTGTGACAACAAAATCCCTATGTTGAGAATCACTAAGGAATAATATGATGCACCTTTAAGGAAGAAAGATCTACGAGAACTAGTCAATCATCACGGAAATTTTTAAATTATAAATTAAGCAAAAATTGCTGTTTTCAAGTTCACAGCTTAACTATCACAATCTCAACAGTGTAGACTCATTTTTCAAAAAGTTTACTGAAACCTTTTTCCTTTTTTTAATTTTTATTTTATTTTTATACAATTTTTAGAGGTTACCTTCCATTCACAGTTACTCCAAAATATTGGCTGTATTCCCTGTGTTGTACAATACATCCCTGTCACCTGTCTTACATCTAATAGTTTGTACCTCCCACTTCCCCAGCTCAATATTCCCCCCAACCCCACTGGTAACTACTAGCTTGTTCTCTATATCTGTGAGTCTGCTTCTTTCTTTGTTGTTATATTCACTAGATTGTTGTATTTTTTTAGATTACACATTTAAGTGATATCATACAGTATTTGTCTTTCTCTGACTTATTTCATTTAGCATAATGCCCTCTAAGTCCATGCATATTGCTGCAAATGGCAAAATTTTATTCTTTTTATGGCTGAGTAGTAGTCCATTGTATATATATATACACATCTTCTTTATCCATTCATCTGTTGATGGACACTTAGGTTGCTTCCATATCTTGGCAATTGTAAATAATGCTGCTATGAACCTTGGGGTGGATGCATCTTTTGGAATTAGTGCTTTTGTGTTTTTTTGGATATATACTCAAGAGTGGAATTGCTGGGTCATTTGGTAGTTCTATTTTTAGTTTTTTGAGAAACCTCCATACTGTTTTCCACAGTGGCGGCACCAATTTGCATTCCCACCAACAGTGCACAAGGGCTCTCTTTTCTTCACATCCTCGCCAACACTGGTTAATCGGTGTTCCTTTTAATTAATGCCATTCTGACAGGTGTGAGGTGGTATCTCACTGTGGTTTTTCTTTTTTTAAGAGAGATTCCCCTGGAGCTTCAGCGACTGGTTCACAGAGGCCACGTGAATCTGGATATGGAGGATCATCACGATGAAGTATACGTAAAACCTAGACTGAGGTTCAAGGCTTTTAGCGGAGAAGGACAGAAACTTGGGAGGTAAAACCCCAAAACGAGAAGAATGCGTGTCTTTGTTCAGCATGAATTTGCTTTGAGAATAAGAAAAGCAAAATAACCTGGAAAGTAAAAACTAAAATATAAACTGTGAAGACCTTGCTGATGGAATTAAAGACTTTTTTTTTTTTTTTTTTTCTTCCCTTGCGGTACGCGGGCCTCTCACTGCTGTGGCCTCTCCCATCGCGGAGCATAGGCTCCGGACGCACAGGCTCAGCAGCCACGGCTCACGGGTCCAGCCGCTCCGCGGCATGCGGGATCTCCCCGGCCTGGGGCACGAACCCGCGTCCCCTGCATTGGCAGGCGGACTCCCAACAACTGCGCCACCAGGGAAGCCCCTTGCTGATGGAATTAGATGTGCCAATCCGGTGATAATATTAATAGGTGATACTTAGATAGCGGTTACCACGTTCCTGGCCCTCAGAGCACTTTTTTCCCCTTTTTTTTTTTTTTTTTTTTTGTGGCGCGCTGCGCCACCAGGGAAGCCCCCCTCAGAGCACTTTTACAGTCATTGCCTCATTTCATCTTTACAACAGCTCCTTGACGTAGATCCTGTTATCACTCCATTTGCAGAGGCAGCAGTTTGCCCAGGGTGACTGAGCGAGGAAGTGGTTAGTGTGTGAGCTTCAAACTGGGCACTCTGGCCCCTGAGTCTGTGCTTTTTACCACTGTGCCATCTTGCCTCTTTCTGATTATGATTACGTGGGTTCACAGGGGAAATTGTCGATTAGATAAAACAGTAGTTATCTTAGATCACAGCTGTAAGCATCCCTGTCTGCCATAGGTAATTGTTAAGCTCTTGAAGCCAAAGCAGTGGGCTTAAGTTGGTTATTTTCCATATATCTTAAGCAGCCAAACTCTTTCTTCAAGTTATGGGAACACATAGAGAACTCCTCTTATTGCAGGAAGAGGGAATTGCCTCAGACATTTCCAAAGAACCCTAGGACTTTGCCGAGCACAATTTAGAAACCGGTGTGCGTGGTGTAATGTACGAGTGGACACCTTTATAATAGCCATGGCTTGCCTCTTCATAAAGCTTGTTACATGTGCTGGTAAACATGACCCTCCATTTGTCCCCACGTTAATGCAGGTGACATGCTGAATTGCGGCCTTGGCCATGTTTCCAACATACCCTTTTGTGCACCCTTTGTTCCTTTTCATGTGATTCCTTCCCTTCCGAGTTCTTTTCAGTTACCTTGGGCACACCGGCTCGCTCTTCCCCTCTCATTTCTCAACATAGGAAAGAATTCAGTATCAGCTCTCTGCACCTGTCTTTCATTTCTCAAGTCTCCCTTTCTGCATCCTTTTCTCCAATTAGAGGCTGATTTCTGAGACATGTAGAGAATACAGGAACATGTGCTGACCTTGCTTTTTTAAGGACAGGTCTACTTGGAAATTTTCTCCCTCATCTCTCTTTACTTTCAACCAGTCAGGCTTCTCCTGAATTGTCCTATTTCTTCCTGCCTTTTTTTTTTATAACTACAACCCCCAGATAGTTTTTTAATATTTTCTAGCACTTCTCATTTTTTACTTAATATTTATTGAGATTATGATTTTTCATTAAAACACAGGTTAAATGCCCAGTCATCTCTTTGTTCCATACACTTTCTTTTTCTATTATTTAAGTGTATGACCAAGAATTAAAGTTAGAATGCGTATCTTTGTTAATAGAAGTACAGTTGACCCTTGAACAACACAGGGGTTTGGGGCGCCGACCCTCCAACAGTCGAAACTCCTCTTATAATTGGCTCTCTGTATCCACGACTCCCCATCCTCGGATCGTGTAGTACTCTATATTATAGATCATGTAATAGTGTTTGTTGTTGAAAATCCACGCATAAGCGGACCTGCCCAGTTCAAACCCGTGTTTTTCAAGGGTCAGTTGTATAGTAAACCTAGAACTGAAATTGAAGAAGGTTGCCTAAAGGGAAGATAGCTAAGAAGACCCGGTGATTATAATTGGCAGTTCGAACTCATGAAAATAATGATTTATTATCTGATCGATTACAGTATCTTACAAAGGCCAGCCTTTTTACTTATAAGGGAAATAACTAGAGAAAATGACAATATAAAAAGGAGAAAAGGATGAAGGAAGAATGGCAAAGATAAGTGGTGATAATGCTGTGTTAATCATTAGCCATATTGGTCAGGGGTTTTGATTATGGAAAACAGAATCCATTTGCTAGATTAAATAGTAGTAAGGGTTTTCTTACAGAGCCTTGAATCATTTATAGAATTTCTGGAAGAGATAGCAAACCAAGCTTTCCTTAGACAGGAGAAGCAAACAGAACTTTCTAGAGAAAACACCTCCTGTGCCCCATCAGTTGCTCAGAGCCTGTGGAGCTGGGGCCCAGAGCTAGAACACCCCATCATGACTGCACTGGGAGAGTCAGATGCCTCCAGGACCTTGGGGACCAGAAGAGCTGCATCATCTCCACGCCACGGTCTTAACTTTCACCGTACAAGTATGTATTTATTTGCTTGATGGAAGGGTGAAATCCTACAAAATCCTAGCTGCAAGGGAGTCTGAGAAATGTAGTCTTTAGAATTTCCAGCTTCTGATGCACGGGAAATTTACACAGGAGATGAGCGTGGTGGTGTGAGCCTGTGTGACGTACATGGATCCAGATGCGGAATAGTTGGCTATGTATATGTTCTAAGAAGATGAAGGATTGCATAGAGCATTTTAGAGGGCTTCACGTTAAGAAATATATTAAAACATAAAAGTTGTAACAGTCAGCCTTTTTCTATTCAGAAAGTAACTTTCTAAATGGCTTATTTCCCAAGAGTTCCAGACAACTGTTTACTGAACAGAGAAGTAATTAAAAAGAAGCAAACAAAACAGAATGAAAAATGATTCCATTGTCTTCCACAGTTCGCAGTCTAATTGCAAACAGAACTTTACATAGATGGAAATTGACTTAATTATTTGTAGACCACAATAAAATGGGGTAAACCTAAATGCGATAGAAATATTACCCAGTACCTTCACGTAATATTATAGGAGCAAGCAAACCGTAGATATAAAACTACAAATTTTTGATACTAGAACAATACAATTATTTAATAAAAATGAGCTTGGTGAGCCAGGTAGAGCTAGAAAACCTCAGAATCGTTTTTGACTGGCAGGGCTAGCATTTCTGATAGACGTTCACAGTAGGCTTTTGAGCTGGCGTGTATGATGATACAGATCATGATTTGAAGTAAATCTCTCTCTGCTTCAGGACAGTCACTGCCTGTCTGGCACACTGTGCATCCAAAAGCTTCTGTTTGCCGTTTGCCCCGAGTCCGCCCACTTTACCTGAGGTGTGCCTGCGCCTTGGTCCCTGGACCCTGGAGGGCCCTCTTCTCTAACGTCTCACAGCCCCTTCATTCCTGCCCCTGCTTCATTCTCTGACCAGCGGTTCTGCAGCCCCTTGCCTGACTGCACAGCTACTGGATCTGTCTGCCCTGTGCAGTCAGTGCTTCTGGGGACGCCCGTGCGCCTGTGCTGGGCAGGCGGGCTGCCCCTCTCCCGCCCCCGGACGACTGAGCCCGGACGTTCCCGGCTTTCCCACAGCGCCCGTTCTACCCCTGCCCCTCACTTGCAGCAGCTCTGCTGGCAAAACAGAGCCTGACAAGAGTTAGCTTTCTTAATACATTCCTCTTAGCCTCTGCGTTTATTACATCCATCCCCACCACCCTCTTTTAAGTCTGAAGAAGATGGGTCTGAGGGAATCACTCCGCTTACAAGCTACATCCTTTCCTCCAGTTTGCCTAGAAAGCTTGTTTTATCAATTAACTTTCTTCTTGTCCTTTTTAAAAATTTTTTCTTTTTAATGTTCATTCTTGAAACATACATACAGTATTTTAAAAATGTCACTGTGGCTTGATAAATTGAATGGTGAGGAGAAAGTTTGAAATAACACGCAGCCGTGACTTTGAGAGCTAAATGTTAAAGTTAATATGACTTTTTTTTTCATTATTCCAAATTTTTTCTATTTCGAATTCATTGAAAGAAATAAAATTATATTTTAAAAAATGGAGTGATCTCACAAACTGAGGAAAGCCAGGGACAAAAAGAACAGGTTGAGTACTTTTTCCTGAGAGGCAGATCTAACAGCTATAGAATGGTCTTTTCTTCCTTCCTAGCTTTTGTCAACACACTAACCAGCTTGTTCACTGCCTGTCTCTCTGACGCTTGAGGGTATCTTTCAATCTCTGTGACTCAGTTTTCCTTTCCTATAAAATGATGTGGTTGGCCTTAATTATCTCGAAAGGCCATTCCAGCCCTTGGGCACAAAGAGGTTAAGTGACTTGCCCAGAGTCACACGTCTAACAAGTGGCAGAGTCAATCCCGGAGTCGGGCCCCTACATCCGTGCTGTTGCCCACTAAGCAACAGTGCCTCCCTCACTCTAGGATCTAAATGAAATAGCAAATGCTGCAGGGGCTGTGCTGGTGGTGGTGATGACAGTGTGTAGATATGGTTATAAGGATGCAAAGGGAGAGGGAAGAGGCCCTTTATGCTCACTGACTCCCGCCCCCTCTTTGGGTTTCGTCCCCCTCCCTGTGTAAGGGACACTGGACTGTTGCCGAGTAACCCACCTTGGAGGTGCAGCTGTTTCAGTCCTCAATTCCAAACTTGAAAGGAAGTTCCTTAATACTCTACCTGAACAGGGACTGCAGGTCATCATCTTCTCCTCTTCCATTTCTTTATCATATACATTCTGAAATTAGTTCTAAAATATATGTCACGAAGTGGCTAAGGGAAGGCGAAGCGTTAGCGGTAAGTACCAGTTAATTTTACCACTTTGCCAGATATGCTGAGAAAGTTTCTGGGTGGGAGTTGGAGTCACGATGAGCTAGGTTTACACTAGACTAAAGCACGAATGCTCATAGGACTTTTATACTGATAAATATATCTTTATTTTATTTTTTTCAAAAGACAGCCATTTATAGGGAGCCATCAAAGTCCCAGTATTTGAGAGAATCAACATCAAGGCTATCAAAGAATCCCGCAGGATGACTGAAAGAGGATTAAGATTTGATGTCTGTGAAGAATTTCTAAATTTCTTTTAATTCGTTTTAATTGCTTAATCAAAAGAGCACTCTATTTTTGAGATTCGCTTTCGGCTTACAATGATGGGTCATCCTGCTAGCGTTAGAAGGCACTATGGTCACTAGTAACCAAGGTCCACTGGTAAGAGATTGTATCACACAAGGTTCATTATAAATTCATCACCATATATTAAATTTCATTTCTCACTCACACTTAGGAACTACTCTGTTGTAAAGCAGTAACTACTTAAAGCAGATTTTTAAAGTAATATCAACTAAGTTTAAGTTGATAGCTTAGTGCTGATGATATATACAAATACAGCTGATACCTCTTGAAACACTGTTCCAAGCGCTATATGAAGGACTTACTATAACAGACCTACATGACATATTAGTATTTCCCCCCCATTTTATAAATGATAGAACTGGGATTCAGAGAGATTAATTTAGGTACTCGAGTTCACACAGTTGACAAAGCTGGGATCTGAAACCAAGTCTGCCTGTGCTCATGGTCAGTCCTGGGCGTTAACTCCAAGTTGCTCCTGAGGTTTCTGACTGAAGACCATTGTGCCGAACAGTCTCATGAAATTTCACGGGGACTGGGGAGGAAGGAAAACAGAGTTAGGCTTTCAAAAGAGGCTGGATAAACTAACTCAGAATCATGGGACCCAAGGTAATTTTAATGTAATGAAAGAAGGTGGAAGAATAGGAGACCCCAAGGAAGCCGTGTCCCCACTGGGGCAGAAGCCATGGCGGGGTGACTGGAGGTCGGGTGAAAGTCTAAGTGGTTGTTCTGCTGTCTCAGGTTGTTGTGCATCTTATTATTCAGGTTTACATTCTGATGCTTTAGTTCTTCTTTCTTAGCCTCACACCTGAAATAGTCAGTACGCCTTCCTCCCCAGAAGAAGAGGAGAAGTCACTACTTAATGCAGTTGTTCTTATTGATGATTCCGTGCCAACGACCAAAATTCAGATCAGGTTAGCAGATGGGAGCCGTTTGATACAGAGATTCAATAGCACACACAGGTAAGCTTGGGGTGACTTATCTTTGTAAAACTGGATGCAGCTTGAGTCATGAAGAATACGAAATTCTTTACATTTACTTTTGCAGTAAGTTTTTGACAGAAAACAAAAATTTTAAGAGAATAATATCTGTGTGTAAGAAGTGAAGCACTTAGTACTTAAACATCCTCTGTAAACTGTCCAAATACTGGTGCAAATGCAGATACCACTCAAAAACAAAGAAAATTGTTAAAAGCTGTAGTTTTGCACCGTTGCTAAAACCATGAGAAGTTGAAACAGATTTGATTTGCTTTAGTAAAACCTGATTTGGACTTTACTCCTTTAAAAATTTATGACAACACTGATTAGGATTAACTTTCTACGTAGCAAATTCTTTATAACATAAATGTATAGTGTAAATAAAGTTTCATTGTGCTCTTATCAAGTACTTCAGATAAACAGTTTTAAATGCCATTTTAACATCCATTGTACATTTGTTGTGCTAATAAGATACTATTTTTATTTGTTCATTGTATCCCACTAAGAGATACATTTATGATCTTAGTTGAGCTACTGTATATGTGTGAGAGTAATTTTTTTTAATTATTTTTATAACTTACACTTTTCATAGTTATAGACTCACACTGACACAGGCTCATCTGAGGTACCTTTTTCTGGGTCGTGTGCTGCTAAGATAGTTTATACTCTGAAAAAATAAGCCCTGTAGCATAATAGCATTGTTGACACTGATGCATAACTCACCTAAAGATTGTGTCTGTTTACAGTGAGAGTAAATGTCAGGTGCACTCCAAAGTTAATCCTCACATTTTACCGTAAAGCCAAGGTAATTTCCATCCATTGAAATTAAATTAAAGAAGGTTACAACACATTTAAATAAGGATAAGAATTGTGTGATTTTTTTTTTATTATTATTATCTAGTTTTAGCTAAAAGCTGAATTGACAATAAAACTTTCGTATCACAAATTATTTTTATCTTATTTCTTCAGGATCCTGGATGTTCGGGACTTTATTGTACAGTCCCGTCCTGAATTTGCAGCTCTTGACTTTATTCTCGTGACTTCATTTCCAAACAAAGAGCTAACAGATGAAAGCCTGACACTACAAGAAGCAGATATTCTTAACACTGTGATACTCCAGCAACTAAAATGATATTGCTCCTACCCATGCAGTAGTATGTAGGAACGGTAATGTGCCATATTAGTGAGGAAAACACTTAGAGCGTAAAAAGTTATTTTTATTATTTATACAGATAAATTTTGGTTTTATTCTTATTCTGTCTTCCAGCTTTGGTCTAGACAAATTTGGACTAGGAATAGATCTTGAGAAATATGTCTGAGGTTTTAGCTGCAAGGGCTGGCTTCTGTTGATAGCTTTTAAATATTCAGGCAAACCAGTGTGATACATGATCAGAGTTAATGCAACAACATTTGTTTGCAGAGAAAATGAACAAAACCCCATTTTGATAAATGCATTTGGTAAAATCTGCACTAAAGTTTCTTGATGCTGCATTGATCAACAGCCATTAAGAAATCTTCTGATCAAATACTTGGAAAATTTTTCTGTAATGTGTACTGAAAAGTATCTGATTTTGAAATACTTTGATCATATGATAATTATTTCTCCTATTAAGATTTTACACATCCTTTTTCCTTGCTGATTTAGCTGTTTACTCGTGTCAGAAAATACAGTTTAGCCTTGTATTTTACGGGACTCTGACCATCCTAAACTAGAAACAAAGACAAAGGTCAGCAGTTCCTGAGGAGATGTGTCCACCAGCACTTTAGAGTAACTCCAGTCCCTTGCAGAGCCTGTCATGACCACATTCACTTATTCATTCAGCACGTTGTTCTAGAGGACCCACTACATATTCTAAACACTGTTCTAAGTGTTCGACCCAGAATGTAGTCTACTGCGAGACAAAATGAGTGTAGAAATACAGGAATGTAAATTCTGTCAGCCAGACTGGATCTGAAGCGTTACCAGCGTAAATGTCTGCATTTCTGCTGACGCCACGTATTTCCTGAGTGAGGGAGGCCACAGCAGGATGAGAGAAAACCTTTTCCTTCTTCCCAGACACCATTTCATCGTTGGTCACCCCTCCTGGTTAGTCTTTTATTGCTGCTGTAACAAATTACTACAAATTTAGTGGCTTAAAATAGCCTAGGTTTCTTCTGTAGGTGAGATGTCTCACGTGGGTCTCACTGGGCTAAAGTCGGGTGCCAACAGGGCAGCATTCCTCTGGGAGGCTCTAGGGGAGAAGTGTTTCCTGGCCTTTCCAACTTCGAGAGGCCACCTGCATTCCTTGGCCTGAGGCCCTTTTCCATCTTCACAGCCAGCAATACTGTATGTCTCTGGCTCCAGTGTCATCACATCTCTTTGAGAACAGCCGGGAAAGAGTCTCTGCTTCTAAGGACTCATGTGATTAGATTGGTCTGCCAGATAATCCAGGATGACCTCCCCATCATAAGGTCCACAGTAACCTTAACCAAATCCTTGAAATCCCTTTTGTCGTGTAAGGTGACATATCACAGGTTCCTTCTGCAGGCACCAGGGGTGGTCTCTTCTTTGCCTCATCCAACTTGTAGAGGCGGATGGCATCCCTTCCCTTATGGCCCTATCCCTCCGCGTCTTTGCTTCTGTCCTTACATCATTTACTTCCGACTGTGATTCTCCTGCTTTCTTCTTACAAGCACCCTGGTGCTTACATTTTGTTCTCACAGATAATCCGGGATAGTCTCCTCATCTAAAGTATGAGCGAGCATCTGGGTGTGCGTCCTGGAACACAGTTTCTCTCCATCTGTGCACCTAGAAACCCAGGTATCTGCTCCCAAATATAAGGGTTAGACAGGCATAGAATAATTGTTACAAACCTTCCTGTTCAAAACAATAGAAACTGGAAGGGAAGAAGGAGCCAGCAGTGCCAAGGGGTTTTGAAGTTCAGCCAGGCACAGTCCGTTAGGCTTCGGGGCCTGCGAATAATCTTCTGTGGCTCCCAGCAGCATCCCACAGACGTGTGACTTTCCCTCAGGGTCTTTCCTTACACGTGAAAGGTAGCAGCTGTCTGCAGCTGAGTAGTTTTGTCAGCTTGTTTCTTGCCTGTGGAATCGTGGGAGGTCCAGCCATCTTTTTTCGTTTCATTCTGTTTCTGTCCCTTTTAGTTTAAGTCGGCAGTGCCTGTGGGTCTTCTGTGCCTGTTGCAGAAGTTGCTGCGTTGGACCGGAGGCTCCTCCCAGAGCTTTCCTACATAATCCAGCTCTCTTTCTGGCCTGTTCTGAGATGGCTGAGGGGCTCTGTGAGTCACACTCTTAATCTCTTAAAAGAGCCTTTGATGCGACCTTTTTTTTTTTTAATCTTTCTCAGGTATTAGCAAAAAGTTATAGGCCACAATCTCATCTCTTCCCTTAGAGCCGTCTTTCCTGACAGTGAATCTCTTAATGTCTTTGCCGTTCGAGTAAACTAAGAATTTCCAAGTCATCAAGCCCCGTTTCCTTCTTTTTTAACAGTCCTTCCCTCAGTTGATCTGCTTCCTCTCACGTTTTACCATAATCAGTAGGGAGAAAGCAGGCTGCGCCTTCCCCGCCCTGCTTGGCAGTCTTTTCAGCTGGTGTCCCGAGTCTCTCCCTCAGGCCTCTGGCTGTCCCCGCGGCTGCACTGCAGCCAAGCCTCCTGCCGCTATGTCGCCGGCATCTCTTTACCTTCCGCTTCCCGCGGCACGTTCCGCATTCGCCCCTGAGCCCTCACTGGCCGCGCCTTTCAGGTCCTTGTCGCTAGTAGGCGTGTCCTCCCAGCAGCCGCGAGCACCCCTTGCCTCTGGGAGCCCGGGCTGGCTGCCGTCCGCAGGGCTCAAGGCGGCCTCGGCGCTCTCTACCCGCTGCCCGGGCGCAAGGCCACCTCTGCACTTGTAGGTCTTTGTTACAGCAGCGCTCGCTGCAGGGTGTCTGGCAAAGCCCACTGTGCCTCCTCGCTGCCACCTGACTGGAATGTGCCAGTAGGAGCTTTGGACGTGAGCTTTCCCCGGGGCTCCCCTCGCCTCCAGGAGTCGAACTTACCCGTGTGAGGGGCGGATACCGCGGAAGTGTTGGTCTCAGCACCGCAGAGAAAACTTATTCTCGGTGTCGCAATCCAGAGTAAGAAGCGTAACCCTGAGTCTTCTCAGAATGGGAAGCTCTGTTCCTTTCCGCTAATTGAAAATAACCTGGAGAATATAGAAATGACCGTTCAAAAAGTCAGCCTCTGTTCAGAAAGGTTACCAGGGATAAACTGCATTTTCAAGGGGCAAAGCCGTATTCCTGCAGAAATAATCTATTGAAACAAGTTAACATCTAAAAAAGAAGGGCATTGCCCTGTTTCGGATTAACAAAATGGAGAAAACAATTAACCAGACCCTGTAAAATTATTTGAAACGTTATTCTTGTAGTTTCTTTTTAGTCCGTTAGATGGAGTCCCTGTAGACGCACATACAAAAACGACTGCCATTTCTGTATATAATGGTTCCAAAATAGATTCACATCGGGAGGGAGAATCAAACATCCAGAGGGATGAACAGTACTTTCGTGTGTTCTACAAAGTGTTTTGCTTCGTTTAGAGTTTTCCTGCATTCTTTGTACTGTTGCAGTCGCTGTAACTTTTAAGATTTATAATCCTCTCAGAAGAGATTGTGTGACGTCAATTGTTTTGCATGACGTGTGTAAGGACGTTTTCACTTACCAATAAAGAATGTTTTCACTGAAAGTGATTGAAAATCCTTTTCAAAATTTCCTTTGATTTGCAGCTTTATTTGAGTGGCCTGGTGGAGCATTGTAAGGGTAACATTTCCCGTGGTATGTCTTTTGGATGGGCAGAAGGATCTGAGCTGCAGCTATGTTATCTGTTTCCCATTACTGATTCTGTTTTTATTCCACCAAAATAAAGGTGCAGATTTTTCTTCATTTTGGCCACACTGGATCTCTTGAAAACCTTGTCACGACATGTGTTGTTGATAAAGTGCCTCATGTTTCCCACTTAAAAGAGTTTTTGTCCCTAATCAGCAATGCACATAAATACATATGTGTCCAGTGTTGTCATAAAGGCTAAGAAACACTTTCTATAATCCTCTATCTAATTTTAAAGTATCTTTTAATTCCGAGTAAATGTTTTGTAAAGGGAGCCCCATTGCATATGTATAACAGTGTGCATGGTGTTTGTACGGCACATATACATTACTCATGTGGCCCGGACCTAACAACTAGCTATAGTCTACTTAGCTTAATACTTAACAATTTGGCCTCTTTAGAATTTAGAGCTATGACCTAAGTCTCTGAAAAAATAGGACGGGGAGCTTTTTTTAGAAAGTTTGAACTTGATGATTTATTTTCTTTTAGATAAATGTTTCTGTATGGTTAAAAGCAAGACTGTAGCCCAAAACGGGGCCCCTAAATGCCAAGGCCCACGTCAGCAAACCCTGACTTAGCCTTAATTACAGCGTGGGCTCTCCCAGAAATGGAATCTTAAACCAGTCAATCGACAATCTGATCAGCACTAATTAGGTCATCTGTCTGATAAACCCTTGCCACCCCCTAAAGGAAAGTGACCTTTGCCATAACCAACCTGCTTTTCTGCCAGTGTATCTTCCTGTTCCCACCCTCTTCTGCCTAAAAGAGTCTCAGTTTGACCAGCTACTGGGAGCTCGTTTCTATTTGCTAGATTGGCTGCTGCCCATTTGTGAATTGTTCAATAAATTCAGCAAGATGCTTAAAATTTATTCATTTGAATTTTTTTTTTTTTCACACCATGAAGCAAGAGACTTTCAGAATCATTCTGGGGAGCTGCAACCTTACAACTTCCTGAGTCCTGACTAGGTGATCTCAGATGGCTTCTTAGGCTGCTCAGAGGAAAGCTACAGTAGGAAAGGTGGAAATAAGTCCATTCTGTTGAGTATATCACAACATTTCTTGCTTTCTTTGGAGATAATTACCAACTTATTAGCATGGACTTAGAGACGTCATACAATCAGGATTACAATAGTTTTTCAGTTGGCTCCTGTCGACTGAAAAAAAAAAAGCACAACGTGAGAGTTATGAGTTAAGTTTTATTTGGGGCAAAATGAGAACTATAGCCCTGGAGACAGCGTCTCAGATAGCTCTGAGGACCTGCTTCAAGGAGATGGGGGAAGGTCAGTGCTATATAGGATTTTAGTGAAGGGCAGACGTGCAGTCAAGCACACACGTTGCCAGAGGCTTGCTGCCAGTCACGTGGAGCAGATGTCACCGTTTGTGATTTTAGTGCTCTTCTAGATACGAGGAGATGCAAGAATTTGAGCTCATAAAATCTCTTGAAAATATCTAACTATCTGAAGGCCCGCTCTGCCAGTTTTTCCCAGAGCACAGATGCCTCACTCCTGATCTCCACCCCGAGCTCCTTTCAGGGGACCTTGAAGGTCAGCGGCTGCGCTGGCTACCGACTTCATCCTTGTAGAGCCAGGTGGCGAGCGACAAGTTTTAGTTGGCACTTCTCTTGAATGAAGTTATGTGTGTTAATTAGGCACCAGTAAAAGAGGTCCATGAGATTAAAGGCAGCTGCCTTTTTTCCTTCGAAAATTCTCTTCGGCCCTTTACCTTCCTGAGTGTAAACTCTCTTAGCGCGGCTGTTTATTTGTGTAGATGTCAATACAGACGTATGTACAACAGCGACTTTCCTTGCTGTAACCCTGGAGATAGAAGAGTACTTAAAAGGAGTGGATGTCCTTTGATTTTATGCCTCTGTGTCTGCTTTTTTGG